TAAATATTTGTTAAGACGTCTAAAAACATCGTATAAACTTATGGTAACACTTTTCTATATAATGCACAATTATTAGGTCTTATAAAACAATCTATTAAAATATTTAGACAATTTGGACTCTCAAATACTGACCATCATGATCTTCAACACGACTCACATATGTACGAGAGAACAAGACATTCATGAATTTCTTATTAATAAGTCATACTCACAGCAACCATAATTTCTAAAACAAAAGTGTCATATCAACCACAAGGGTGGTGCCTGATTGGTTTGAGCTTGGCTCCAAAGGTCAAAAGTATCAGTAGGTCTCAGATTCAAATCCAAAGAGGAATAAAAATCCTCTTGTGGCCATGGAGGTTCAAATGCGGTGACTCCGGACTATCTACAAAGCAGGTGGTCGCTCTTGAATTAGTTGGCTCGCATAGCGGGTTGAATATCCAAGTTAATAGAAAAAAATGTGTCATATCATCATTTCTTTCCACGTGTCAGTTAAGAAATTTATTAAGAAATCGATGCATTGAATGCTCTAAAATCATAGTGTATCCAACATCTAGTAAAATACTTTTACTTAAGCACAAAAATATATAACATTAAAGACCGCATATATAATTGTTACTTTTATCTTTTAGAAAGATAGTTACTACTAGAATGTTGGACTTTACGATGATATGACTAACGGATCACCAAAAGCACATCGAGGATTTCCTGTGAACTTGAAAAAGAGATGGTTTATTGACGAACTGTCGATGGATCAACGTGAGTCAAAAATGAGATATCCGGGGGGCCATCTGTCGCTCATAGCAGAAATTTTGTAATGAGACATAACTAATTAATTTTGTCGGCAATCTGTTGGTAAATATTAAAGGTTTTTCGAAGTTCCATCAATAATGCATGGGCAAAATATGTAAAGTTTAACTCGAGATTACTGACGGTTTTTTGACGACCTTTATTTAGTTTAGTTTATTTTTCAAAATAAATTTGAAGCAATCCATCAGTAATTCGTGTATTTTCAACAACCATCTTAGTTTTCCTTTTAACTTTTTTTATTTATCAATAGTTACCAACGTTTCCAATAAGTTTAATGGATTCCAAAAGACATCGTAACCCATTAAACGTATGAAAATAAGTTTTTTCCTCTTATCATGCAACAATTTTAATTATGGGGGCATCTATGGTTGCTTAACATTTAACTTTCTCGTAAGATAATTCTATGCAAAACAACTTTGATTTTATAATTTTCTTAATATTTTATTATATCTATTTCACATATTTAACTAGTAAATAAATAAAAAGGTGTTGCGAAATTCGAAAGAGAAAAATGGAAAATCATCAACAGAAACAGAGAGAGAGAGAGGGATTCGAACCCTTGGTATGAGTTAGGGGCCGTTTACCAAACGCTTACCTGGATAAGCGTTTACCAAGTCACATTACCTTACCGGATGAATTTGCAAAATTGTGCTCGATTTCATATGTGGCAATTCCACCAAGATCTCTTCGTTAGTTGGGGGAAGAATCCGCCCGAATCGGATTTTTTGAGGAACGTATCGAGAGAGAATTTGATTTGGTTAGACAATGCGTGGTTGGTAAACAAGGATCGGTTTTTCCGCAAGGTACGGAATGTATTGTCAAATATTCAATATGATTCCACAAGATCTAGTTCCGTTCAAGTAAGGGATTCTAGCCAATCAAAATGATCTTCTGATCATGTGGAAACGTAACAAAGGCTTTATTATATTTATAATATTGTACTTTATCCTAATAATATTTTATTCATAAATTAAAAAATTTTATAAAGAAAGTCAGAAAAAATAAGGGAAAATCCTTACGATTAGTGTCCTCTAATGATGAACTAGTATGGGTACATTCGCTCATATAAAATGACATTAACCTCCCCATTGAGTATTGGTACTTATCGAGTATAGAATAAATCTGCTTCTCTTTGTTCCTACGAACAAAATTGTTCCATTATTACCAACAAAACACCGATATGCCCTTAGGCACGACCATACATAACATAGACATCACGCTTCACGCTTGAAAAGGGTGGACAATTAGCTAGAGCAGCGGGTGCTGTAGCGAAACGGATTGCAAAAGAAGGGAAATCGGCCACATTAAAATTACCTTCTGGGGAGGTCCGTTTGATATCCAAAAACTGCTCAGCAACAATCGGACAAGTGGGGAATGTTGGGGTGAACCAGAAAAGTTTGGGTAGAGCCAGTGTTGGCTAGGTAAGCGCCCTGTAGTAAGAGGAGTAAAATTTTATGTTCTTGCTATATATGTTTTTACCATGTAATAGTCTTTTTTTCTGCTTACGGAGTAAAATTTTATGTTCTTGCTATATATGTTCCTACTGTGTAAGATTCTCGGTATTTGTTATGCACACTTGATAAGATAAGAGACACCCGATAAACACTTAACAAGCAAACGTTTATTAAACGACTCTAAATAATTTTAATAATATCCAAGGAATCAAAGAAATCATATTTTTTTTTCTTATGAATTTCTTTTTTAAGCATGCAATATTATTTCTTAATTAGAAGTACACAATTATACATTTTTAGAGAAACAGATCTCTTCGTTAGTTGGGGGAAGAATCCGCCCGAATCGGATTTTCCCCGTTCATCTTCGGCGCAAGGGCGCTCGATCAGTGAGCTATTACGCACTCTTTCATTCTATTCAAGATTTGCAACTTTATCATGCATACTTTTCATTCTTGAATTACAAGTTTTTTAAGTTCAAGAATTTCCTTTTCTTTTCTTATACGTTAAGGTTTTCTAATTTAAATTTGTCTTGTCTAATCTTAATCGTACAAACATCAGACACATCAAATACTGTTCAATTTTACCCTTCTATCCTATCTGGTTTTGTTCATTTTTATCATATCCAATTCAGTCAATCCAATCATTCTGTATAAGAAACGCTAACTAAACGTTCACATTAATGGTTTTTTGTCTCTTTCAAACCAATTTTCCCCGGTAACTTATAAATTAAAAAAAGTCGATAATTAAAATAGTTTATCAAAAGTGAAGAGTAAATCACATTTTAGTCTTTATGGTTTGCTGAATTTTTTTGATTCACCCTATGATTTTGAAATTACGACTTTCATCATATAATTTATAATTAATTACCGTTTTCGTACTTATGATTTGAACTTTATTATTTTCTTGTTCCGAAGATTTACAATTCATTCTATTTTACTCCATCATACTTAAAGAGTTAACGTATTTTTTAGCCTCAATGCCAAAAATGGAAATGAAATACAAACCATAGAGATGAAAACCACAGGGACAAAATGCACAAAAGTTAACAAACTCATGGACAAAAAATGTAACTTACTCTAAAAATAAAAATATCACTTTATGGCTTTGTCCTTGACCACAAACAGTCCGCATCCCGCAATTACGTGTTTACTCTCACTCGAAGCGGTCGTTGTGATATCGTTTTAGAGATAGTGGTCAATTCGATATAAGCAAACGTATTAAATAAGTAAAACAAAAATCAATTATAAAAAAAACAGTTTGATTTAAAATAACATCCAAAGTCTTTTTCAACATATAAGTGTTTTTTTTTTTACGTTATTACCAAAAAGTTAAAGAAACTTGCAACTATTTTTCGGGTAACCATTGGTTTTTGAATCAGCTTAAAACATCGACTAATATTCTGATAATCATGAATAATTTATAGTTATTACAGGTGAACCTCCATGCTAATAACACCTCGATTTATATTACTCCTATTTTTTTGGAACATTATAAAATGAGTGGCTGCATATGCACCCTCAAAGCGTTCTTATCCGCCCATGTGTGTGTGAGAGAGAAATTGATGGTTGCATTAATTGTGGTTGGTCGATTTTTTATTTTAAAATTTTGATTTTCTTTTATATTTCTAATTTTATTATATAATTTAGAGTAAATAACAAATTTGGTCCTTGTGGTTTATCATATCACTTTTTCGTCCTTACGGTTTTTAACTTATAAGATAAACATTGTGATTTGGAAAAAAAAACGTCGTGATTTTATCCCTTCTTATCACTACAATAAAATCGGGTTTATAGAACACTCTCAAATTCTAAGTGTCCTAATAGACCTCTTTACAAGACTTAGTTTATAGGACCAAAAAAATAAAGTGTCCTATCTAAAGGTGTTGTAATAAATTTATATGACGTTTTTTGATGTCGTAATAAGTTTTTTAGGACACTTTTAATATAAAGTGTCCCATTATCAACTTTATAGGACACTAGTTGAAAAATTGTCCTATAAAAACAAGTGTCCTATAAAAAAATTGAGTTTGTAAGACACTTTCTTAACAGTGTCCTATAAAGTTGCTAATGTGACATTTTGTATTAAAAATGTCCTAGAAAACTTGTTAAGACGCCCAAAAACGTCATATAAACTTATTACAACACCTTTAGATAGAACATTTTATATTTTGGTCCTATAAATTAAGTCTTATAAAGAGGTCTATTGAGACACTTAGAGATTGGAGGTGTCTTATACATTCAATTTTGTTGTAGTGTATAATGGCCATTATAATTTTATTTAAAAAAAATTATGATGCATATCTTATAATTTAGAAACTGTAGGCATAAAAATATTATTTCCAACAAACAATAAGGACCAAATACGAAGAAAACAAATTAACATGGACAAATACGAGCATCCAAACAACTTTTTTCAATTTACTTTTCAATCATTCGGAATATTAATGGAACTTCTTTTCCTATCATAATTTATCAAACTATAGGGTTGGGTTCACGTGAGACCAAGGGTTTTTCGTAAGACCTGTAAGACCAATTAATGTTCATTGATCAATTTTATAAGCTAATGATCTAATGGTATAAAGTTGCACGGTGGTAATTTTGTGATTATTGAGAAGTCTCGTGGCAATTTTGTGATTATGAATGTTCATATTGTAGATCTAATCCAATGGTTGAGAATTGGTCTTACGGGTCTCATGAAAAACCCTTGGTCTCACATGATCCCAAGTCGTAAACTATATATTAAATCCAAATATAGGGTGTAAGAGAAAATTACATATAAATCAAGCATGATCTCAGGCATTTATTTAAAAGCACATGATGTAAGCCATTGAATTTATATCGACATTAAACGATTAATGATGCTTGTTTAGGTTTGAAGACGAGTTCAAGAGGTTTTTCCCTTTTCAAAGTGATCACGAATTTGTCGTCCATGTTGAGTTTCATCGGATCTTCACTGTTCGGAAGAGCCCAGTCAAACTCATGAATCAGAGTTGCTAATATAAATTCCATATTCTTGCTACCTAAGGGTAAACCAGGGCACATCCTTCTTCCTGAACCGAATGGTAATAACTCAAAATTTTGACCCTTGTAATCCAAATTTGAGCCAAGAAATCTTTCGGGTTTGAAAGATAACGGGTCATCCCAAACTTCAGGGTCTCGGCCCATCGCCCAAACGTTGACAAATATTCTCGCGTTCTTAGGAATTGTATAATTCATCACCTCACAGCTTTCCTTGGCCTTATGTGGAAGCAGAAAAGGTACGGGTGCGTGTAATCTTAGAGTTTCTTTGATACATGCTTGTAAATACGGTAATTTAGATAGATGAGACTCGCTCACTTTTTCGGAACCGATTTCTCTTTTCATCTCCTCTCGGATTTTGGTAACTACCTCTTTGTTTCTTACCAGTTCGGTCATAGCCCAAACCAATGCAGTCGTCGTTGTATTTGATCCAGCAACAAATAATTCCTAGAGACATGAAAAATAAATTGGTTTAATTAAAACAAATAATTAAGCTAATTAATGATTAGGGTTAGGATTTTGAGATTAATTAAGTGTATATTTATCGTTTTCATCAAACAAATACATAAAATATGTGAAAAGATTCAATCTTTTTTATTTACTCGTCCCGTCCAAAATAAACGTATACATGAAAAAATGCACATAGTTTTAGAAACATGTAATTACCTGTAACACTAATTGAGAAGTATATATTATATTGGACGAGACATTTCTTGTGTTATACGAAAGATTTCGTTTCATAATAAGTGTACGCAACTGTAAATGATTCCGTTATATATAAAAAAATCTTCAAAAACAAGCTAAGAAATATTTACCGCAATATATTCATTGATCTGGTCGTTTGAGAATCTTTTTTCAAGCAACCGATCTAAGAAAGATTTCGCCTGATCTGACGACCACGTTGAAGAATTAACCCGAGCTCTTCTATCTTCTATGATATCCTCCCAGAAAGAAAACGCCTTTTGCATTTGTTTCATGCTTCCCTTTCGTATTCCCTGGAGATCAAATCTCTGGAAAATCGGAAAAAATGAACCAAAATCCTTCACATGGCCTCCGTAAGCAAGTATCTGAAACAACGAGTCTTTCAACCCACCGGTAACCTCGTGCTCAGATTTCAAATCAAGCAACTCTTTGTCAAACACAACACAACTCAAAGAGTTGAATAATGTAGCAAAGATGACTTTCTCGACGTTAATCGCTTGTCCTTGTTTTATACGCAAGAAATCCAACAACACATCTAGCTTTTCTTCTCGTAATCTAGAGTGGGTTTGTAAGGCTTTTGCGGAGAACATTTCGGTCTGACAAAGGGTTCTTAGGGTTTTCCAGGTATCGTTGCAATCCGACCAAAGAATGGAGTGGGGAAGTAGGGATTCCTGCTGAAATGCAGTAGGCACGGTACGAGAAGAAAGAAGACGGTCTTGTGTTTTGAGAATTCCCATGGCTGCCTCCGGAGAAGAGGCAACCACGAGAAGTTGTGTACCTAAACGAAGAGATATAAGAGGGCCGTGTTGTTTGGCGAATTGCGCAAGGGAGACGTGAGGTTTATCGCCTACTTGATGCAAGTTTCCGATGACGGGTAACTTGGGTGGACCTGGTGGAAGGTTTTTCAGGTTCTTGAGTTTAGTTTGTTTGATGATGAATAAAAGGATGAAAATGAGTGTTGCTAGAATGAAGAAAGCTGTGATCTCCATTAATTCTGGATCTACTTCAGCTGTGTTGCTTTCCGGAAATTAACAAAGTATATATAAGCTCTCAATTTTAATATCCCACATCGTTAATTTATTAAATAATATTAAAAATTGATATATATATATATATATATATATATATA